ATACAAAGATATCTGGAAAATCTCCAAACATTTGGAAATGAGAAAACATACTTCTACATAACCCATGGGTCAAAGAGATAGTTTCTAGGGAAAAATTTTAAAATATTCTGAATTGAATGAAAGAAAAAATAAAACACATCATGGCATAGTTGTGGGATGCAATTAGAGCAACACTTAGAAGGAAACTTACAGCAATTAATGCTTATATTAGAAATAGATCAGATCTAAAATCAGTAATCTAAATTTCTTCTTTGTGAAACTAGAGAAAGAAGAGCAAATTAAACCAAAACAAGCAGAAGGAAATAATGAAAACAAGAGCATAAGTCAGTGAAACTAAAACTAGAAAAGCAAAAAAAAAAAAAATCAGTGAAGCCAAAAGTTGGTTCTTTTAAAAGATCAATAAAATTGACAAAACTCTGTACAGGCTGACCAATACCAAAAAAGATATAAATTACCAATATCAGTAATGAGAGAGTGGATATCATTACAGAACCCACAGGCATGAAACAGAAATAAAGGAATACCACAAAGAACTCTGCCCATAATTCTGTGATGTAGAGATAATGGATCCTGAATGGTTCTATTTGCATTAAATAATTGAGTATACAGTTAAGAGTCATGAAGAGTTAGACATGACTTGGCAACTGAACAACAACAACATACAGTTAAGAGTTGGATAGACCAGGGTGGTCATAGATAATTTATTAGAAAGAATTACACTACAGAGGCAGCAGCTCTAAGTCCTTCTGCTATTGATAGATAATCTCACTCAAGAACTGACATTTTCCTAACTAGCAGGGCATGTGTGCTTGCTAGGTCACTTCAGTGATGTCCGACTCTGTGGTCCTATGGACTGTAGCCACCAGGCTCCTTTGTCCATGGGGTTCTCCAGGCAAGAATACTGGAGTTGGTTGCCATGCCCTCCTCCAGAGGATCTTCCCTCCTAACTAGCAGATTGCATGAAACTAATGTCCTAGTACAATGAATGTTGGAAGTGGGCTCTTCTTTGTAGAGTGAAAGATATTCAATATATGTGGATTAGCTATAGTAAATTGAAGACACTCCCTATCTTTGCACAAACAGAATATAAGAATCCACAAGGGCTTTTACCCTATCAAAACCTCTATAGGCTGACACGAATGACTTGATCTCAAATGGGTCCTGTGCTCAGCCATTAGTTGAGGAGGATTTCTGACTGCATGATGTCAGCTAGAGGATATGTGCTGTGTCTTTCAAAAGGATGTTCTTAGAGCACTTAAAAGGACAGAGATCTGGGCCTTCACCAAGTTTATGGAACAGGTTTCATGATGTATTGGGCATAGTGTGCTAATAAATAATGTCTTTATTAGTGTGCAAAAAAATAATGTCTTTATGAGGCAGAGATTTATCTAAGCCCTTGTTTTATTATAATCCTGTATGGAGAGCAAAGAGGAGTAATTAGACTTCCCTGCATCAAACTTTTTTGCTGGCCATCATTATTTACCATATAATAGTTGTGCATTACCAAGTGATGTAGGTCACTCTGTATCAGCTAGGTAGTATGCTAACCATTTTGTGTTCATGAACTCATTTATTTCTCAAAGCAATGTTAGGAGACAAAAGCAAATAATATGATAAAACAGTAAGATGAGATTCAGAAAGATGAAAGTTTTTACCTAAGCAAGTCTAGGGACCAGGCTCTCTGATTTTAGTGCTAGTGTTTTAACTCTTCATTCCCTTTCACCACTTGATTTTTTTTTATCATCATCTTTTAAGAATATACAGAATCAGATAAATGATATCAGTAGAAGTCAGCCTTCTATAGAGCTGAGGACAGTTTAAATTCATAGGTTCTGGGAATTAGAAATACAAGGGGCTCAGATATGAGAAGGTTAACATGGCAACTATATTGACCTCAATTTTCCTGATGACACTTGTGGTTGAGTTTTTTCCAAGATAACACCTTTACTGAAACATAATTCACATACCATAAAATTCACCCTTTTAAAGTATACAATTAGTTTCTAGTATATCCTGAGTTGTGTGGCTCTTGTCTATTAGCTCTGTTTGGGGAATTTAATATTTTGGTGTTTGTGACAATAGTCAAACTTTGACTGATACCCTATTGTTTGGCCATCTTTGCTCCCAAAAGTCAAACTTTGAGTGTTCCACCAGGTTCCTCAAGCATTGGTCTTTGTGGAAATCATCCAAATGAGCATTTAGGGTTACTCCCCGAAATATGAGCACTTAAAATTTTTTTTCTTTTGTAAGCTATTAACTCGATCTACCCAGACGTCTGATGGAAAATACATCTGTGAGGTAGATGAGAGAAGCACCATCCTACCCTACTGGCACTTGGGACTAAACTTTCAAAGCAATTAAACTTACTGTTTCAATCATTTCTTCTGGTTCAGACACTGGTTCTTAATCTGAGGCCAAAACCGTTAAGTGAACCAGGGAGTTATCATGAAGGACCTGCAAATCTACCTGTGGACGAGGCATTGTCTTTATTTTGGATAAATATGTCTTACACATATATTTACTACTTCTTTATAAACCATACAGGTTTGCTGTTGTGATTAATCAAGCATGTGCATGCGTGTATGCTCAGCGGCTTCAGTTGTGCCCCACTCTGTGTGATGCTATGGACTGTAGCCCGCGAGGCTCCTCTGTCCATGGGATTCTCCAGGCAAGAATACTGGAGCAAGTTGCCATGCCCTCCTCCAGGGGATCTTCCCAACCCAGGGATTGAAACTGTGTCTCCCACATTGCAGGTGAACTCTACCACTGAGCCACCGGGGAAGCCCTAATCAAGCACAAAAACCTTCTGAACATGTAGCTGAATTCCTAGTAACTTTTCACTATATAGTTTCTCAATCAGCAGATATGAAAGCACAACTACCATCATGGGATAATCAGAGACTTTTGAGTCACAAAAGAAGTCATGTGAACTCAAAAGAGTTGAGGAATGGCCAAGTTAAATAATGACCCTACTTCACTGGGCACAAAATTTTCATTTAGTAGGGCATCAACTTATCTGCAGTCATTAATACAGTAGTGTGAATTCATTGGATTGCTTCAGAGTAGGCAACTGAACAATTCTACCCTGGAAGCAGGGAGGGGATCAAATATGGCCCCAAGCAATTTTAGTGGGCTAAAAAGGTCAGCTTTTCAGGAGCCATGTGTGCTTGAGGAAATTTATTCTTTTTGTATTTATGACAGTAACTTTGATGGATTATTGTTTGGTTGGTATAACTCCAAATGTTCTCCAGCTTCTTCCAGTGTTGGAAGACACACAAATGGAAACAAGAGAATGCTGAGCACCAAGGGTGGATGCTAAAAGGGAGGAGGGAGCTGTGACCAAGACCAAATCTGCCCACTTAGTTTGTTGGAAGGGCAAGGAAAGAGTGGTGTCTACCCTGAAATTTTTGCAGGCTACCTGAGACTTCTTTTGAGCTTTTTTCCCTTTTCTTTCCCAGAATCCTTCCCCTATACTTGCTTGCAAATCTTTCCCACCCCATCCAACCCAGAGTCCCACTTTCTATCCAGAGCTATTTAATCAGCTCAAATTGTCTTGTGTTTTTCTGGAGGGGTTCCCTCCAGCATTGCCAGAATGTCTCAATATTCTTGGAGTGTGTCCTCAGTTTTCCAAAACTTCGGGGCGTCCCATAGGCCACAGCTCTGACTTCAAATACACACTGACCTTTTCCTTTCAACCAAACATCCTCCTCCTTCCCCATCGCATTGCATCAGAGCTTCCTCAAGCCTGTTGTCCTGCTCCAGACATCCCTCTGCCTGTGGATTGGGGTTAATATCTGGTCCTTTCCAATCCCACCCCATGTGATTGTGTCTTTGTTTCAGATCCAGGAGAGTAATCATACTCAGGCTGGGTCTCCACTAGCCAAAGCAAAAGAGACGTTTGGGGGAAACAATTGGCCAGTCCCTGCAGAAGGGTTTTTTGGATTGCCTGACAACCAACTGATTGCCTCAATTCTCCTTTCACATCAATGACCTCGGAGCCATAAATGGTACTTTCGTTGGCATTAGCAAAGCAAGTGTACAATGACTTTTGTTGCTTGAGAGGCGACCATATCCCAAGAGGTACTCCAGAGAACTTATTTTCTTAGAATTACAGAGTAAAAGGCTCCTGAGAACTGGGTTGAAAACTTTGTGTCTGCCTTACTCCAACCTCTGTCTGACTGCCACCTAGTGGCATGGGAAGGCAGGGTGGGGGTGGGAGTGGGAGTGGTCCATGGGGTGCAGTCAATAAGTGGGTGTGTGGTCTGGAGAATTGGAAAATAAAAATAGAATTGACTAAAAATTAGACTTGTTATCACTGTGCACCAGCAATCCTAAATAATGTCAGGGATAAAATACTTCTCACTTTGTTATATCACTGCCCCCACTCCAGAACCTAAGCAGTCCCCTCCTCCCCCGTGGAGAGGCATACTTAATGCTGACTTTTCAGATAATACTTCAGATCTACATCTATTCCTTTCAGAATTTCCCTGTCTTGTGTTCCATCCCTCTAGGGCTCTGCTATCTATTTTCCTTGGTGGAATTTCTTTATAGGGGACAACTTGCAGTGTCTACCCCACTCTCCCTACTGTAAGGGGCACCTACATTGTAACAGGAGTCACCACAAGAATCAATGCTGAAGTCCAATGCTTGTTGAAATTCTTTGAAAGCAGTGAAACCCTGTCTGCAAATGAAAACGGTGTAACTCCTAAGTCTTCGTTAAACTTGTCCATTTATGTCATTTCTTCTTTGCTCCTCCATGATGAGGACAAACCACCATGACCTATACTCTCGTAGCATGCCTTGGACTGATTCTTTCATCCCACCCATCACACTTGGAATTACGTGTTCAGTACCTGTATTCTCTGGTAGACTGCAACCTCGGTATGTGCAAATGCCAGGTTTCTCTTGTTCACTGTTGAGACCTCAGAAACAAGCATACTACTTGGTCTTCTGCAGAGTCTTTGACGAGTTGAATATCTTGATCACTGGACTGAAAATGGCTAAAGGCCCTTCTGCAGTGTTTCATTAGGCAGACACTCAGACTGGAAAGGTAGGAATCGCTTGCTTACTTGGTGCTGTCTACTTCCTCCAGCCCCCCAAATATCAGCCCCCACAGCCAACACACACACACACACACACACACACACACACACACACACACACACACACCTTGTTCCTATGGTCTCCGTTGCTAAAAGGTTTTCAGTCACCCCAATCCTCTTCCTGTCATTTTGTAATGGGAGAAATTCATTTGAAGGGTAATAAAAGGTAATAAAATCTTTAAAACTGAAAAGGTATCTGAGGATTAAGCAATTCTCCTTCATTTCACCGAACCTGCTTCCTTCCGAAGGCCTAGGCAGCTGTCCTGAAGGAAGTCAGGTTCTGCTTTTTGAGTGAGGTCATTAATGGTGGAACCCAAAGTTTCTTTGAGGAGCAAGACAGGTCTGGGATGGGACAGTGAATGTGAAGAGGGGATGACAGCACGGGGGACCCAGAGAGAGAGGAGGCTGGCAAGCACAAGCTTCGCCTTCTTTGAGATTTTGACTGGAGCCAGCTCTTCACCCCTTTCTCACCTGCCCTACCCAGAAGAGTGAAAGGAAACTTCCCACTTGCGTCTCTCTCCTACCCTCTGCCCTTTCCCCTAGGACTGAGCTTAAGCAGGTACTAATTTGTGCTTTATATAATTTGGCTTTATTCAAGGTTCAAGACGCTTGTGTTGACTGGCCTGGAGATATGAGCATCAAACAGAATGATGTTTCTAGAAGAAAATGCATGCTGGATTCTAATTTTGGGGCCAATATTTCATTCCTAGATTGGGGACTGCTTATAGTTGGAGCCGACATGGAACTCCTCTTGTCTACATTAACTTGAAGCAAGACCTTGGGTCTGTTGTACTGTTCATTTTGTGAAGGTTTCATATACACCATGTGGGAGTCTATTCACAGAGAGAGAGCAATATAAGTTTTGTAATATTGTGCTTGCTTCGGCAGCACATATACTAAAATTGGAACGATACAGAGAAGATTAGCATGGCCCCTGCGCACGGATGACACGCAAATTCGTGAAGCGTTCCATATTTTTATGAGACAAGTGCTCGGGCCTGGTGCACTGGGAAGACCCAGAGGGATCGGGTGGAGAGGGAGGTGGGAGGGGGGACCGGGATGGGGAATACATGTAAATCCATGGCTAATTCATTTCAATATATGACAAAAACCACTGCAATGATGTAAAGTAATTAGCCTCCAACTAATAAAAATAAATGGAAAAAAAAAGTTTTGTAATATTGCCTATACTTAGTCTAAATCTTGCATTACACTATAGATAGTATATATAGAAATATACCACTTATCATCTACAATATTGAAGTCTAAGTAAGAATCCTTCACAGCTGTGAGGCTGATACCACAAATGCAAGGACATCTTGCTGTAAGCACTAAAAAATATTATATGTAAATCTAATATCTATCAGTGATTTTAAAAGATACCTTATACCATAATGGAAAAGAATATTAAAAAATAATACGTGTGTGTGTGTGTATAACTAGATCACTTTGCTGTACTACAGAAACTGGCGCAACATTGTAAATCAACTATAACAAAAATATACATGTTGATAAAATAAATTAAAAAAGGGTACCTATGGCAAATCATTTTGCAAGGCAAACACTTTCTCATTTGTATTTGTTAACACAGATTTTATTCGCTTTCTTTCAGTTCAGTTCAGTTGCTCAGTCATGTCCAACTCTTTGTGATCCCATGGACTGCAGCATGACAGGCCTCCCTGTCCATCGCTAACTCCCAGAGTCTACTCAAACTCATGTCCATTGAGTTGGTGACACCACCAAACCATCTCATCTTCTGTCTCCCTCTTCTCCTCCTGCGTTCAACCTTTCCCAGCATCAGGGTCTTTTCTAATGAGTCAGTTCTTCGCATCAAGTGGCCAAAGTATTGGAGTTTCAGCTTCAGCATCAGTCCTTCCAATGAATATTCAGGACTGATTTCCTTTAGGATGGACTGGTTGGATCTCCTTGCTGTCCAAGAGACTCTCAAGAGTCTTTTCCAACAACACAGTTCAAAAGCATCAATTCTTCGGTGCTCAGCTTTCTTTATAGTCCAACTCTCACATCCATACATGTCTACTGGGAAAACCATAGCTTTGATTAGATGGAACTTTGTTGGCAAAGTAATGTCTCTGCTTTTTAATATGCTGTCTATGTTGGTCATAACTTTTCTTCCAAGGAGCAAGCGTCTTTTAATTTCATGACTCCAGTCACCATCTGCAGTGATTTTTAAAGCCCCCAAAATAGAGTCTGTCACTGTTTCCACTGTTCCCCCATCTATTTGCCATGAAGTGATGGGGCCAGATGCCATGATCTTAGTTTCCTGAATGTTGAGCTTTAAGCCAACTTTTTCACTCTCCTCTTTCACTTTCATCAAGAGGCTCTTCAGTTCTTTGCTTTCTGCCATAAGGGTGGTGTCATCTGCATATCTGAGGTTATTGATATTTCTCCTAGAAATCTTGATTCCAGCTTGTGCTTCATCCAGTCCAGCATTTCTCATGATGTACTCTGCATATAAGTTAAATAAGCAGGGTGACAATACACAGCCTGGACATACTCCTTTCAGATTTGGAACCAGTCTGTTGTTCCATGTCCAATTCTAACTGTTGCCTCCTTACCTGTATACAGATTTCTCAAGAGGCAGGTCAGGTGGTCTGGTATTCCCATCTTTTTCAGCATTTTCCACAGTTTGTTGTGATCCACACAGTCAAAGGCTTTGGCATAGTCAATAAAGCAGAAGTAGATATTTTTCTGAAACTCCTGCTTTTTCGATGAACCAGCAGATGTTAGCAATTTGACCTCTGGTTCCTCTGCCTTTTCTAAAACCAGTTTGAACATCTGGAAGTTCACGGTTCAAGTACTGTTGAAGCCTGACTTGGAGAATTTTGAGTGTTACTTTACTAGTGTGTGAGATGAGTGCAATTGTGCGGTAGTTTGAGCATTTTTTGACATGCCTTTCTTTGGGATTGGAATGAAAACTGACCTTTTCCAGTCCTGTGGCCACTGCTGAGTTTTCCAAATTTGCTGGCATATTGAGTGCGGAACTTTCACAGCATCATCTTTTAGGATTTGAAATAGCTCAACTGGAATTCCATCACCTCCACTAGCTTTGTTTGTAGTGATGCTTCCTAAGGCCCACTTGATTTTGCATTCCAGGATGTATGGCTCTATGTTGGTGATCACACCGTCATAATTATCTGGGTCTTGAAGACCTTTTTTTGTATAGTTCTTTTGTGTATTCTTGCCACCTCTTCTTAATATCTTCTGCTTCTGTTAGGTCCATAGCGTTTCTGTCCTTTATTGTGCCCATCTTTGCATGAAATGTTCCCTTGGTGTCTCTAATTTTCTTGAAGAGATCTCTAGACTTTCCCATTCTATTGCTTTCCTCTATTTCTTTGCATTGATCACTGAGGAAGACTTTCTTATCTCTCCTTGCTATTCTTTGGAACTCTGCATTCAAATGGGTATATCTTTCCTTTTCTTCTTTGTCTTTTGCTTCTCTTCTATTCACAGCTATTTGTAAGGCCTCCTCAGGCAACCATTTTGCCTTTTTTCATTTCTTTTTCTTGGGCATGGTCTTGATCCTTGTCTCCTGTACAATGTCACGAACCTCCATCCATATGTTGCTCTTTACAGCATTGGACTTTACTTACATCATTTTCCTTAGGTACAGAGAAAATGTCCTGAAGGCTAGCCTTGCCTCTGGATATTTAATCTCCAGACTGCTTTCTTTCCCAACTGGAGAAAGTATCTCATCACATCAACTATTCACTTGGCAAATATTTATTGATGTCTGGAAGTGCTGGGTACTGGGTCCCTACCCTCTTGGAGTTCTCCACACTCATCAGGGAGACTGTGGCTGGGCAAATGCTTCACATTTTAACACATGAAGGCATGTAAAAGGTGAAGGCACTCACTGTCCTCATTTCTAAAATAAGGTCAGTAATAGGAACTATTTATAAGGCTGTGCCAAGGATTAACTGGGAAAACATGCATGTCAATTGATGACTACAGTGGCTGGCAAGTGTTTTGGTTGTTATTTCCTAGGGTGACAATTATCTGTGCCTAAAAGAGGTGGACAAGATTGGAGATGAGCAATAGGAGTTTTAAAAACTGAGTAGGTGTTTGTGAAGTAGAAACATCAGAGGATGAATGTTCCAGGCAAATGGAGCTGTGTGCGAAGACACAAAAGTAGTAAGGACCCAGTAAGTATCTGGAAAATGGATTTGGCATGTTGGAGGATAGAGTACATAGGGAGAAATGGAAAATGGTGGTAAACTACTGGGGGGCAGGCAAGGCTCCAGAGAGAAGGTGACATTTGGACTGGGTCTTGAAGGATGAGTAGGAATTTGCCAGGCAAAGAAGAAGAAAGAATATACTAGTGGTGGGAACACATACACAAAGGCACAAAGTTGTATATGAACTATTTGGAAGACTGCATGCTATGGCCAGGGCTCTGCATTCAAGGACTTCTCTCCTCTGCTTAGAGGATTCAGAGATATCAGACCTTGTTTGGCAGATTGGTGGGATGGGCCCCCTGAAGTCAGTTTGCATGAGGGATTCACTGGGGAATAAAAGCAGTCCATGTGCACCAAAGGAAAGAGGGATGAGGGGAACAGACTCACATCTGTCTTACAGGTTTATACAGGCAGACCTCAGAGACATTGCAGGTTTGGTTCCAGACTACTGCAATAAAGCAAATATGCCAATAAAGCAAAGCACACAATTTTTTTTTTGGTTCGAGTACACATGAAAGTTATGTTTACACTCTAGTGCTTTCTCTGAAGTGTGCAACAGCATTATGTCTAAAAAAACAATGTGCATACCTTAATTTTAAAAAAGGCCTTATTGGTAAAAATGTCTAACGACCATCTGAGCCTTTGGTGAGTTGTAACCATTTTACAATGGGCTTCCCTGGTGGCACACTGGTAAAGAATCCACCTGCCTATGCAGGTGACACAGGAGATGCGGGTTCCATCCCTGGGTCAGGAAGATTCCCTAGAGAAAGAAATGGCAACCCACTCCAGTATTCTTGCCTGGGAAATCTCATGGACAGAAAAGCCTGACAGGCTACAGTGCACAGGGTCGCAAAAGATTCAGACACGACTGAGCACAAACACACGCAATCTTATTACAATAGTAACATCAAAGATCACTGACCACAGATCACAATCACAAATATAAGAATAATGAAACAGCTTGAAATATCATGACAATTACCAAAATGTGACTCAAAGACAAAGCATGAACAAATGCTGTTGGAAAAATGGCACTGAGAGACATTCTTGAGACAGGGTGGCCACAAACCTTTAATTTATAACGTATGCCATAGCCTTGGAGCATGATAGAATGAGGGTGCCTGTATTCAGCAGAACCTCTCCATATTGGCAACTGAGCCCTGAGGAAAGCTGAAAGTGGAAACTAAAGGGCTTGTTAAAGGTTTGTTTCCTTAAAAACTCTAGGAGACTCAAACACAAGCAGACTGTGCTTTGGTCCACACAATATATATGCACCAACTCTGTGTAAACTGTTTTCGTGTAAGGTGACAAGGTATAACAGTTCAGGGGGAGGGAGGAGGGCCTTCTCTCCACTTGTGCACAGGATACCTTGGCACTGTAGAACACTGAGGGCTCCAGAACACCACCAATATGGTGGCACCTCTAGGCCAGCACAAGGCACACCCACCTGTAATGTCACAGCTGGTGGCCATGGTGACTGTCAGGACAGATGTGCTGATGGAGGCAGTAGACAGCCATCTTTTTTCCAGCAGTGCCCTTCGCAGAGGAGTGCCAAAGCAAGGAAAAACTAAAAGGGTAGGTAATGTGGTGGCAGGCAGGACTTGTCCTTGAACCCATATGAGAGGATCTCAGGAGATTCCTGGGACTCCCTTGGAGGAGGGGAGTAAAAACTATAGGAAGGAAAAGACCCTGCAAGAGGAAGATAAGGGCAAAAGGCAATAAACATGGGCTATATTTAGGGGATCAAATGGGTAGGACTTGGTGAAATTTGGATGTGGGTTATCAGGGAAATTATAGCACCCCAGGTGGAGCCAAGGTGTCTGGTTTGTGGTTCCCCCAATGGAGGTGTTTATTGGGATTTACAGCCCATCATTCCAGAAGAAAGTATGTCAGGTATAAAGTGGGACCAAGCTAAGAGAGATGATGGGAACTAGGTGTAGCTAATTCACAGTAAGGGGTTGGCAATCAAAGGCCAAAAATTTGTCTGGGTTGTGGGCAAGGGCTCTGTGTGGGTGTGTGGCTTCTTATGCAACTCAAACAGCAAGTTAACCTGACTTGCCCATCACTTTCCATGTTTTCTTCTCTACAGGATCCCTCCCTTCAATATTCAGACATGGCCAAACACTTCCCATGTTTAAGACAAAAATTTTCCCTTGACCTCATATCTTTCTTCTGCTACTTCCTTTAGCTTCTGATGGCTCAGTGACTAAAAAAAAAAAATCTGCCTGCAACGCATAACACATAGGTTCAATCCCTGTGTCAGGAAGATCCTCTGGAGGATGGCATGGCAACCCATTCCAGTATTCTTGCCTGGAAAATCCGACGGACTGAGGAGCCTGGCTGGCTACTGCCCATAGGGTTGGAAAGAGTCAGACATAACTGAGTGACTAAAGACAGCATACAAAGGGTTGCCTCAAGCTGCTGCCTCCAACTGCTCATCTCCCTACTCACTTCTGGCCTCTGCTCCTATCACTTCCCCAGTATTTCACCACCACTGACCTCTGTGTTGCTAACATCAATGTGCCCTTTTCTGTTGCTGTTGTTCAGTCACTAAGTCATGTCCAACTCTTTTCGACCCCATGGACTGCAGCACACCAGGCTCCTCTGTCCTCCACTATCTCCTGGAGTTTACTCAAATTCATGTCCATTGATGCTATCTAACCATGTCACACATAGCCTTTTTAAGGGACTTCCGCAATAGATCAGAGGGTAAAGAATCTGCCTGCAATGCAGGAGACACAGGAGATGAGGGTTCAATCCCTGGGTTGGGAAGATCCTCTGGAGAAGGAAATGGCAACCTACTCAAGTGTTCTTGCCTGGAAAATTTCAAGGACAGAAGAGCTTGGTAGGCTATAGCCCAAAGAGTTGCAAAGAGTCAGACAGAACTGAGCAACTAAGCACAGTCTCCTTTTCTGACCTTACATAATTTGACATTGCAGATCTCTTGTATCTTGACTTCTGTGATAGAACTAATTTAGCTGGTATGAGTTTGAGGGAATTTAGTCTGGATCGAAATATGTGACAATACTTTTCCTTTGTTCCCTATGCAAATTTGCCACCGAGCAGCAGACCAAAATTGAGGCCCTCTTGAAACTCATGTCAATGGCCTTCTGTCCCCAGGCTCTTAAATGTCTTGGCCTAAATAGAAGCCATAAATCAATGGCCATTTTCAGTGCCATGCCATTTTTGAACATTCATGGCCATGAGTAAATGTTCACTATGCACCAGACACTAGTTTAATCACCTAACATGAACTGACAGAATTAAATTTCACTGCAAGATTGCAGGCAAAGGTCGATGGTACCACTATCATCCCCATTTTATAACTGGGGTGACTGACACAGCTGCTAAGTGTGGAACTGGGATTAAAAACTCAGGTCATCTGACTGCAAAGTTCTCACTCCTAACCACGAGGCTATAGTGTGAGAGGGGTGTCAGGCTGAGTGTGCAAAAGCCAAGCCCTCATCACCGGTTACCCAGCCCAGAGTCAATCACTCACATGACATTCCTGCACAAGATTTTTCCAAATGAACATTTTATTAATTTAAAAATCCAGAAATACAGTGACTACATAAATAAGTACCCTATTTAGGTACATGTCCTGTGAGAAGAGTGAAAGGGTAATACTGTTAAGTTATTCTTACTTGTTTACATGAGTTAACTAGAAAATGGCTACAGCTGCTAAGTGGTACTTATGGGCTTTGCTTATTCCAAGTGTTTATGGTACAAATAAATACACAAGAAGAACCACGTCCATTCCTCTCTACTAAGTACAGGCGGCTCGGCCTCTTTTCTCTCTGCAACACCGAACATTGGAGGGTTTCTACGTTGGCCTCGCCCAGCACCCCAGCTCCTGCTTCACACTGCGCCTGGCCAAGGTGTATCCCGGCGCCTGCGGGCAAAGTCTATCTAGGGAAGCTCCCTGGGTGTTCCTTTTAGGTTGAGCTTTCAGAGAACACCTGGGTGGGAAGGTTTGGGAGCTGAGTCAGAAGGGGAATCACCACTGCCTCAGGATCCAATGACTTGGTTCCACACTATGGAAATACTGCCACCTCTGGGTGGGAGACAGCAGCTGCTTAATGTTCAACCCCCACACCCCCACCACTAATACTCTGGATGTCCTCCTTCCTTCCCCTCTCCTTCTCGAGAACAATGTGTCTGAGAGGCTGCTCCCCTGAAGGCCTGGCCACCAGGCCTCTGTGTCTCTTTGATGAGAACAGACTCCTTTATGCCAGGTTGCCATAAAGACCGGACCTTTTACATTTTTCCCTATTGGTGTCAAATAACAAAAAAATGTTCATCTTACCTATGGTCACAGAGTAGGAAAAATGGGATTTCTCGGTCCTTAATATTTAAGTGTTCACTAGAGTTCATCCAGGCACCCCCTGAGGAGATAAATCTAGAGAGCAGGTTTGAGATTCCTGCTGTGGAGAATTTATTGTTTTCCTTCAGAATGGATCACTTGGGCTCTGGTATTAGGCTTCAAAGAGACATTTTTGGAGCAGCCCTCATTGGGATCCATGATTCAGATTCATGGTTGGTGCATGAGAGGAGAATGGTAGGAAAGCTTAGGATAAGGATTGTTATCAGAATCCCCATTTCCCCCAGTGAGCAATAATTCTCCTAACTGAAGCTTGGGAGGATGGAGTCCCTTTGCCAAGTAAAAACCAACTCCTGTAATTGGAGAAGAGAAACTGCCCTTTTAAGAAGCTTCTAGAATTTCATCATTTAACCAAAATTTTTGGACTAGAGAACTATGACTTCAGGACAATAAGTGAGGATTGAGCTGTTAATTAGTAAGTTTTGTTGACTTGAAAACACATGGCTGACCTTGCTGACTTCTAGCAACTCTTTTCTTAAATAATTATTTTCTTTTATGTAGACTCACTTTCTAAAAGTTTTACTCAATTCTAACTTCTTTTTTTTTTTAATTCTAACTTCTTTATGGAGGTTTAGGGAGAAAAGAGAAGTGGTGTCATAAGGTAAAAGTTCTTTTCCACCTCAAAGTGAAGGCAGCCATGAAATGGTGTTCTTATTCTTGCCCAGAATCGGTGCCATCAACAACCACATCATCGACCCAAGGGCAGAGAATTCTGCTCACAACTCCTTATTTATCCTCCTGGGTGCCAACTGCCTCCAAGTTACTTGGGAGTCAGGAAAGAAGAAAGAGAAAGAGAAAGAGAAGAAAGAGAAAGAAGGGGAGAGTCTACACTAGTCTTGCCTCAGAATGCAGGCTGTAGTTCAGTATGTGTGTGTGTGCACACATGTGTATGTGTACCTGTGTGTGTGTGTGTGTGTGAATATGGGAAGTTTTTTTTTTAAACACAAGACATTCTAAATTTTAAAGAGAAGAATTTCATACTAATATTTTCTCTGTACTAAAGAACTCCTACTAAGCAATTCCCTTCTCTTTCTTTCACTGGAATAACTTTCTAGATAGAAACCCAGGGGTTTTGTTTACTCTTTAACCTGTAAAGAAATGTGATTCTCCCAGACACTAGAGCAGTGTTGTGGCGTCCTAGCCCTCTTCCTCCCACAGAGAATTCAAAACTCTTTTAGTCTCTTTGGAGGAGATGTTTAAGGGCTGACATACCACTCCAATAAAGGAGCAAGTTATGCTGTGCACGGCGTGAATAATTGACTGCATTTGAGTTTGGGGTTTTAGGACACTGTTGACTTAAGCAAAGTAAGCCTGCAGTCCAGCTGCAGCTTGAGTTTTCTTGCTTTACTCTATCCAATACTGTCTGTCTTGTCTAACAGTGGCCCTTTTCAGACCTTTCCAGGTACAAAACTTTGACCAAATCTTCAAGCTCCGTTCGGCACACACGACTTGAACACATCTGGCTGATCTGGGCTTCTCCTTCAGTGAAGATCTTCCACTGGCCTAAAAGGCAAACACAAAGTGGCCCAGAGATGTGAGAGGAGGGCAGAGCCAATGAGGAGCAGAACTGACACACCCAAGCGTTCCCTGTACGCTCACAGATCCTCCAGGAGAGCTTGAAGACAGGCGTCATGAACTTTCAGCAAAACAGACCCTGAAACACTTTCCTGGGGATGGATATGGAACATGGGTCACAGGGTCTTCATTTCTCAACACACAGCATTTGTCAGAATCCCAAGAGTAAAACCTAAGTGTTATTCTTGGGATTTTTACAGTCTACTTAGTTAGCATTTAAGACTTGCTTCACTATAAGATCATTAGTTTTTAGGTGGCACTAGGTCAAATAAGGCACTTTGGGGACCTGTACCTGGTGCATTCCTGGGGCTTGGCTTACTCTCTGAGGCCTGAATATTAGTTTTGGTTACTTGATTGTTTACTACTCGTTTCTTTATTCCTGCCACACTTTGTCAAAAACTCTCCCCTCTCAGTGCCAGTGAAGTGGATGAACCTAAAGCCTGTTATACAAAGTGACATAAGTCAGAAAGAGAAAAACAAATATCGTATATTAACATATATATGTGTATATATATATATATATAATCTATAAAGATGTTACTGATGAACCTATTTGCAGGGAAGGAATGGAGATGCAGGCAGAACAGACTTGACACAGTGACAGAAGGAGAGAGTGGGACAAATGGAGACAGTAGCATCGACATATATACACTATGATGTGTAAGATAAATAGCTGGTGAGAAGTTGCTATATAACACAGGGAGCCCATCATGGTGCTCTGTGATGGCTTAGGGGGGTGGGAGCGGGAGAAGGGAGGGAGGCTCAAGAGGGAGGAGACATATGTATAATTATGACAGATTTGCATTGTTGTACAGCAGAAACCATCACAACATTGTAAAGCAATTTTCCTCCAAGTAAAAAATAAAACAAAAGCACTCTAGATATATTTAAATGGATACTAAATGCTAAGACTGAGAACATAGAAACTTGAAGGCCCTTCGCAAAGAACTGGTAAAATAGTGCTTGCTTCATCTATTGATCTATTTTAGACTGAGTCAATCTTTTTTTTTAATTTACTTGTCATTAAACTTGATTAACATATACAAAAAAAAACCAACAACCAACTTTCCCCTCTGTTTTGTCTTATGCCCACATGCTGGCCTCATCCCGCCCTTAGCAAGCCTCCCCTGCTCCTATGGCTCTGCAGAGAGTTCCAGCATCACATCCACCAGGGGACCCCTCTCTGCTCTGGGAGAACACAACTGCATCCCTTCCGTTTCCTGTCATCCTTATTCTGGTCGCCTTCCAGTCCCTGTTTTCTTGCCCCCTCCCCCAGAAGTGTCCACATTTCCAATGTGTCCCTACCAACTTCTCTATCCTCCCTCCAGCCATGCTAACTGAGCAAGTGGTTTTGAGCGTGTACCCTGTGCTGAGCGCTGGAAACCACCAGATGTCTCTGAACCATACCTTTTCTAACTTTCCTGGTCCTTCCGTGGCATGATCTTCCTTCCCCTGCTATCATCCTGCTCTGGCAAATAGGCTTCCTAACAAAACGCCCACCTGCATACCCTCTTCAGTCTTCCTTTCATCCCCACAATGTTGCCACTTGGAGAACCTCTTGTCCAAGGTCAGCAAGTTCGTCTTAATCCAGAACTGACATTGAACCTCTTTTCTTTCTCTCACCACAGGAGATCATGTCCCCCCTTCCTTACAGCCTCCTATCTTGCTGCTCCTCTCTCACTTGGATTCTTCACTTCTCCCCAGTCTCTCAGATTTGATGGGAAAGGGGAGATGGGTCATGTAAGAAATCAGCTTCCATCGAAGCCCTGCAGTGCACCAGGATGACAGGCACATTATACACAGGGTCAGGCTTGCACTTCTCTGTCCCCAGGTGACTCTGCAGGATCATCTCATCACTCACCGCCTTCAGCTGCACACAAAGGAACACATCATCTACCTCCATTATACACCCCAATCCTAACTTAGATGGGAAGAGTTTGCTTAAACCATCTTCCAAGTGCCCCAGTGCCTAGCACAATGCCTGGCTCATAGTATGAACAAAAATATGTTCTCTGAAATTAATTGGTAATTTCAAAAGTCACATTATTGATTGTGGGATCCTAGACTCTGCCTCCTTTATTCCCGACTCACAGGAACTTCCAACTCTGTTTGAATTCTCCTACCGTCCAGTTAGTTGTCTACTCATCTCCTGCAGAATAAACACTTGACCTTACCAATCCTATGTCCAGATGTCTACTGGATAACTCTGCTCAGATGGACTTCAAACATGTTCCAAATAAAACTCATTTTTTTCACCAATTCTCATTCTCTAGTTTCCTACTGGTGAATGGTTATTACTCTTCACTCAATCTATAAAGTTGCTAATACTGGAGTCATTCTAAACTCATCTCTCTCTTTGCACCTGATCTTGATGGTGTAACTTCAGCCCCCCACAGGGACCCCTCCTCCCCTGTCTAACTGACTTAATACAGTCTAACAGCTTCCTATAGACAATCACCAGCTCTCTCGCTAGAAACCCACTTTCCACCCCATATAGCAAGTACCACTTTCTAAAAACCAGATATGAATGCATCATTCACTTGCTTAAAAACCCCCACTGGGGTTCTCTGGTCTGGAGATCAAGTACAACTTCTAAGTGTGGCATATATCAATTTGTCAACAAAGATCCATCTAGTCAAAGCTATGGTTTTTCCAGTAGTCATGTATGGATGTGAGAGTTGGACCATAAAGAAGGCTGAGCACCAAAGAATTAACACTTTTGAACTGTGGTGTTGGAAAAGACTCTTGACAGTCCCTTGGACTCTAAGGAGATAAAACCAGTCAATCCTAAAGGAAATCAATCCTGAATATTTATTGAAAGGACTGATGCCGAAGCTAAAGCTCCAATCCTTCGGCCACCTGATGTGAAGAGCCGACTCACTGGAAAAGACCCTGATACTGTGAAAGACTGAGGGCAGGAGAAGGGGGCGACAGAGGATGAGATGGTTGGGTGGCATCACTGACTCAATGGCCATGAATCTGAGGAAGGAAAGACAGGAAGCCTGGCATCCTGCAGTCAATGGGCTCATGAAGAGTCGGATGTGACTGAGCAATGGAACAACAACTGGCTTCTTTAGAATAAGGCTTCTCAAAGTCATACATGCTTAATAAATGCATCTGAGAGCCAAGAAACATCTTTCCAAGGCACCATCTTCATACACTTGATACACTGTGTATAAGTTTGCAGCAACTACCCATGCTCCTTGCCTGCTATCTCAACTTCTCATTGGCTTCTTCCAGGCCCTCTAGTTCCTACCTCCAACTTGTCTCATCTTTCTGTGCAACCTATGTGGCCTTTGTGATTCTTTGTCACCCACACCCACATTTCTTGTTTGCTCCTGTCTGAGTCTTCTTTTAGGCTGTACCCTCTCTTTGGACTGATTTCCTGACCTGTTGCCCAGTCACACCTTTCTCTTTCAAAACCCACCTCCTCCCCGACTAAGCCCACCTGGCTCTGATCTCATTGTTTTTTGCAGATTCCCCAGAACACTTAGGTATTTAACTCTTCAGAAGTATATTAATTCATAATGAATGCACTTTCATGTTCTGTCTCACCCATTAGAATTCCCAGTGGATAGAAATTCTGTGCCTTTTATTCCTTTAGAAGTCCTCTCACTCCCTCCCCCCACCTCCCACCCTCCCGCAGTGCCTAGCAGGATCTAGTCCCAGGTTCCACCTAGCATAGAAAGTGGGAGAGTTGCTATTAGGCTTGAGTGGTTTTAAAGAAACATGACCACCCAGGGAAGTTCCAAGGAGTCAAACAGAGCTTTGAGACAACCCAAGAATCGATATGCAGTCATCTTCTCTGTCTCTCTCAGCCCCATCAGTGAGATCATAGCTTTCCAGATGTGAGGTCTCCACATCTGGATTGGAGTTGATGTGGAGCATTGCTCCTGTTCAGTGAGAACACAGCCGGTACTTCAGTTGGGGAGACAAGACATGGAAAACTAGATGTGTTTTCCAAGGAGGAATGAAGACAGTTGTCACTTACTTAGTGTTGTCCTGGTCACCAGCTTGAAGTGATGGAGTTCTTCAAACATCCTCTTGGAGATCTTCTCAATATGAAAGTGCTGGAGGATGCCTGGGGCCAAGCAAAAAATCAGGCAGGTGGTCAGGTGCTGTCTGGAACCAGCAATGCTGTTTTCTGCTTGAGCTAAGCATATCATCTCATTACTGGGGCTTAGGAGTCTCGAGCTGGGCTGTGTAATGTGCTTAACTAGGAACTTGGTTGGCTCAAGGGTTATAATTAACTGCTTTTGTTTTCTTGACTCACTGACCTTCCCCCTGGTTCTCCAGAGGATGGAGATAAGGGAGATAGAGCTGCTGATGGTGGGACCCATTCCTGGACAAACCCACGGGGAATCAAGCATGGGTGCTGGTTGGAGTTTCTGTAGCCAAAGGCATTCTGCCCTTGCCCCCAGTCTGAGTTGGCTATGTCCTGCCAAGCCCCTGGGCTGCCCCCCTGGCTCAGCAGTGAGAACTTGAAGCGGGCTTTGCACACGGGTCATTTGTGTAAATGGAGAAGCCATCCCACTTCCTAAACTCCCCAGAAAGCATATTTTCCTTTGGGAAACAATCATAGCTCCTTTCACTTTCCCTTATAAAAATGGGCAGAGTGAAAATAACCGGGCTCCCACAGTCTCAACCTTGCTCAAATAGCTTTCATCAGAATAACATGCAAACAATAGAAAACTGCCTTGCAGTTAAGGAGCAATGTTACCAGCCCACTTAAATAATCCTCCAGAGGTCTACAGGGAGCAGCAGACATGGAACCTGGGTTTTCCTCTGTCCAGCAGGCACAGATCTTTGATGACCCAGTGTTGTGTACAACAGGTTGTTTATAGGTGATAGTAACCAGTTGAAAAGCGTCCACACCCCTCTGTGGGGCAATGCCAGTAGGGAAGCCAACAGAACAGTGCTTAGTCCTGGTGACTAAGGAGCTAAGGAGTTAGAGATGGCAAACCAACATTCCTAGGTCAAAAGCAAAAGTAAACAGTGCTGAGCCTTATATGTGTGTCCTAGCATATTTTTAAAGGGTAGAGAGAAGTTCCTGTTCTTCTGAGAAAGAAGGGAGACAAAAAAGAGGTCCACAAATACTAGAGCAGTTGTTCCTCAAAGGATGGGTCCAAGTACTGCCTGTAGCAGCATCATCCGGCTATTTGTTAGAAACACAAGTGTTTAGATACTCCCCTTGGCTGACTGCACTCACATTTCTTGGATGGGACAAGGTAGCTGTGTCTTATCCTAGCACCTTGCATGATGTCAAAACTTACTCAAGTTTGAGCACTCTCGGGCCTTAGGTGGGATCCAGTTGCAAAAGGATGTACATTATTTCCCAATTGAAATGTCACCTCTACACTTGGAGTCCTTGAAAACTTGACCAGAGTAGATTAGCCTTAGTCTTGTGGCTATGGGGTGATTTGAATAGATGTAGGTTCACAATGAACAGAATGTGGTTTGCTTGGGTAGTCAATGTGAGTAATCAGGAAAGGAATGGGATCTCATGCCTGGGATTGTCCCTCCAGTGAGACTATAATGTTCTTGAGGCAAGAGGTCCCAGTATGATTCGAGACTCTGCTTGGCACTGAATGAATGCATTTTTCATGTTTGTTAAGCTTCATCTTGGAAACAATAGTAGACTACATTTGTGAAGTTTACAATCCTGGCTGTACACTAGAATCACCTGTGGAGCTTTCTGAACAAACCCTTAAGTCCAAGCCCCACTCCTGGACAATTAGTCAGACTCTCTGTGGGTAGGATCAGGCATTGGGTACATAAAAACCTTCCCAGATGAGTCCGATGTGCAGCCAGGGTTAAGAACCACTCCTCCAGCCTTGGTTGTGTGAGAAAGACAACAAACCCCTATGGTCAATACTTACTTTTTAGCCCAGGTCACAGTTAAAGGCCACAATAGCAACTGTGTGAGTCATGTGTTCATTTCTAAGCAAATGGGAAATCTTCTGACCGAAACAGGGGAACAGGCTGAAGAAAAATGAAAGTGACTCTTCCCTTCCTTCCCTTTGTTCCCCTTACAAAACAACAACAACAATAACAAGAGATTAATGTCGTCTGACTCACCTTTTCGAATGGTCCAAACGTGGACCTCTACCTGAGGCGGTCTCTCTGTCTCCAGTGCTATTTTTCTGGTGGTCTCCCCATCCTCCATGAACACAGACTCATACACGGGCATTGTTTCTTCTCCACAAAAGTAGCCTTTGCTGTCAAAGCTTTGGCCCGGAAGTTCTTCTGGAATCAGGAAGCGAGTAGAGACTTGTCATGGTTTTCCAAAAGTCAAAGCAAACCTCTGAATTTATGTAATCTCAGCATTCACAGCACTGCACAAGCATCAAAAGTGGACAATCTACAAGGACATTCCTACAGAGATAGAAATCCCACCAACATTTCACTGCCCCTGTAACAGTCACCAGATCACAAAAGAGCACGTGACCTTTAAGTCCACGTGATGACAGAACACCAGCCCCAAACTTGAAAAGTGGAGCTTCACGAAGAGGAAGAATGTGACCAGATACAAAGGTGCTGGGCACTTAAGGGAACAGAGGATTTTCCATGCTGGGTCAGGATCATGGTTGGCCAACAGAAACCCAAGGAATGGGCTCGGTTAACTTCCCTGACATCATTTAGGTATACTTAGAAAACATTTATGACACTCATTTATGTGCATATACTTGCCCAAAGGATCTATCCAAATTGGCCTGACATTTCTGAATGCTCTTTGATTTGTTTTCAAGGGGAATGCTAATACCGGATCAACACCAGTGCCAAAACCTAGATGTCAGATTAGTCATATGTACACTATGCCAAATGAACGGTTGGAAGACACAAAAAAATTGGTCAAATCCCTCAACTATGGATCATTTAAAGTATAAACTAAATTGTTGGATTTCAACTTCCAGGCATAGGGATACCAGCCTCCTTACTCCTTCTGCTCTACGCTCCTCTTTCCTCAGCCCCCTACCAAAAGAATTTGCCCTTGGTTGGTTATCAGTGAGTTAAGTTCTTATTGGCCTCGTAATGAACACTCTCTTCGGCTGTGTATTTAAAGCATAACGCTCAAATCAGTAACAACAAAAAAAAGCTGAGGACACCCTGACAGATTTTGAATATGTGCAGAAGCCATCTGAAAGAACATCTGATGAAAGTATTGGGTGTTGAGTGCTTTGGACCCGTGACTCTAATTAGGGGGATTCACTCTTACCCCATCAGACGCATCTGGACTAGAGTTTGTAATCAAATTGCTATTGCATGTCTCTTGCTGACCTGATTACCTCTCCCATTCCCACCACCATTTGGGTACTATAAGGACAAAATCCTAGTCTTCTCTGGGTGACTACAGGTTGTATTACACAATTTGCAGATTATCCTAGAGTCAAGCTTGCTTTCCCCTTTCTTTTCAGTAATTTAATTACTTGGTGGGCTGGTCTTTTTTGGTGAAATGCTAGGTAATTAAGGGATGTGTGCTAGCACTTTCCAAATGAGTGGAGAGGGGAAGAGGTCACAGAGTATACAGGAACCTCTGTGTATTAATTACCAGCTTTAGAATGAGAGCCTGGTTCATGTGTTAAATCCTGCTCACCAACTATAGCTATAACTGCCATAAGAAATCCATGAAGGGACTGCAAGTACCTATAATATGCTAAAAATTTCTCCCAGTGTCCTGAAAAGTCATCCTGTCCCACAACCCCTCCCCTCCAAGAGCTTAATTTACTCACTACAAGGGACTGACAAACAACAAAATCCATTAGTGACTCACCCAGGCTGTCATGTGAAAATATTAAGAGTAAATAAACAGAATGTGTCTTTTGAACTACCTGCCAGGCAACCTCTTCATTCCACACCCTTCACTTCAAGGGGCTTCCTGATCACTGCGTGTTCACCTACTTTCATTTTCTTCCAGGGAAGCATGACATGCCTGAAGTCATTTCTGGCCATTACCACTTTCCATGAGAATGTTTATGTCCTGAGCTCTCCAGAACTAAGAATCTGAGAAACCATTCCTTACGGAAGTGGGGATGACTGATGCAGATGTATCAGTATTATCCCAGCCTGAGAAACAAGCTTTAAGTCTTAAGCTTTTCCTGCTGTAACCCAAAAGGAAAGTGTCATTATGGGAATTCCAGTTATTGGGGTGGTATGGTGGGGTTGAGAGTGAGTTGGGGAAACTTCAGGCAGTAGAAGTCCAACACAACTCCGAAGATGGCCACTGATACATAAAGCAAGGCCAGCCTCCACCAGAGCAAAGACGAGAGAGAGGTGAAACTCACATCCTATATTTTGACCTTGCTTTGTTACTGGAGGGCCCTGCAATCATTTGTTCTAAGAAAATTTTTGGCTGAATCATTTGCAAATTTTCTCTCTTTTCCATTCTCAGCATGAATAACTGAATTTACTCTTCTTTCTTCTGTCAATCTCTTCCCTGCTCACTCCTTTATTCCTTTTCTTCTGAATTTTATGTCATTGTCTAAAAGGCTGAGGATGTCATGACCTTCCCTTTTTCACCCCTTCACATCATTCAGGACTCTACTCAACATCATTCTTCATAGAAGCTGACCCTTACCAGTTTTTTGAAAATGCTCCACCCCGCCTGTCCCATTTACCTGATCTCTGTGTTTTTTTTTTTTCTTCCCGGTACTCAGCACCACAGAAAATTACCTTATAGTTTTGTGTTCATTGTCTTTCTTCTCCTGCCAGGATGTAAGGAGCATTGCTGGCAAGTAGCCTGCGTCTGTCTGCTTTATCTCCCTATTCTCAGTGCCTGGAACCATGTCTTGCACACAGTAGGCACAGAATATGTGTTTCCAAATTGCATGCTGCATGAACAAGTGCACGCCTCTTGAGGCTCTGAAGTCACCTCCGTGGCTAGCGACTCTTGGAGGGAAACATGAGTATCAGAGGAAACTTACAATTCACAGACACCCGTGTGTGGCCCACTGAGGGCAGGTGACAGAATGGGACAAGAGGATGTCATGACCTTCCCTTTTTCACCCCTTCATGTCCCATCCTTACACTCTCTCCTCCATGTTGGCCGGTAAGTCTGCCATCTCTACATGTCTGAGCAGTGTGGGAAAGTGGGAAAAGCCACTATTCCAGAGAAACAGGTTTAGTCAATGAGACTCTTTAAGATATTGCCAATTGGGATTCTGAGAACAGTTTTTAAAAATAAAAGCCTTTATTTCTTTTTCTAGTTATAAAAGTCATACACATTTACTGCTGAAAATTTAGAAAATGCAGATAAACAAAAAGAATAAAATACGAATTGCCCATCATCCAGTCACCCTAAGATGGCCACTGCTACATTCTGCCATATGTCCTTCCAGTTTTGTTTTTTTTTTTTTTGGTCTAAGCATATTATCAATGCTATCCATAAACACAAGTAGTGGGATCATAACTACAGATTGTTTTGTAGCTTGTTCTTTGTACTTAATAGATGTATTGCAAGCATATTTCTGTGTCATTAAATCTTGTTCTATGGTGATTTTTAATGGCTGCATAATACACCACAGTGCAGATGTACCATAATTTATGTAACCATTTCCACACTGGTGGACTTTCAGGTTGTTTCTAATATTTCACTATGGTAAACAGCACTGCAGTAAAAATCCTTGTTTGTATATATCTGTATGTCTCTGATCACTTTCTTTGGATTTCTAGTAGAACCGCTTAGCCAAAAAGTGTAGGGTGGAACACATGTACACCCATGGCTGATTCATGTTGATGTATGGCAAAAACTACCACAATATTGTAAAGTAATTAGCCTCCAATTAAAATCAATAAAATTTTTTTAGAAAAAGATAAACATAAAGATTTGAATAAATGTCACTAATCTGAAAGGCAACACTTGTTCTGTGTCCTGTGCTCACATCCTTTTGACTCCTTCCCTCTTGTTTGAATCACCTACACCCATCCAATCCTAACCATACACAGAAATGGGATTCGGTTTGAAGGTGTGAAATTCAAACTGGAATATTATATAGCGGGAGGGTTTAACTTACCTGGGTAGTCTAGGTAACTATTAATTTGTGTCTGAAATTATCTTGTTGTATTACTTTTATGATTCTAGGTGTTAGACCCTTGACAGGAGGGAACACTGTATTGGTGGACTTACTTCTAAGTGACACTAAAAGGCTTGGGGTTCCAGTGAGATAGTAAACTTGGAAGTTGTAAGGTCATCGTGGCTGGGTGGCCACCGTGTTCATATCTGCAGAATGTGCTCTCTCCCTGTCCCTACTAAGTATCTCTCATCATTAACCTTAATGCCCCAATCCTTCACTCCATATCAGATAGCTCCTGGCCTTCCTACCCACATGTTGCCCCCTTTACTTTGGAATATGAAGGTTGCTGCATTAAGAAAGATTTTGTTTGTGCTGTAAATCAGTGCTCCTCAAACTTTAATTTGCATTGGAATCACCTGGGCAACCTTGTTAAAATGCAGTTGGTCTGGGATGGGACTTGAGAATCTGCCTGTCTAACTAGCTCCCAGGCACTGCTGGTCCAGAAACCATACTTTGATTAGCAAGACTATAAACCAACCTGAACCTCCAGCAGTGGTTCCCAAAGTTGTCTGCAAATTACAGATAAGAAGGCCTGGGGGTCTTCTAAAATTCCAAACCCCAGGCTACACCTCAAATGACTTAAATCATAATCACTGGGGATGAGACATAGGTATTTTTAGAAGCTCTCTGGGGGATTCCAATGTGCAGAGAAGTTTGGGAACCAGTGGCCTACATGAAGATGCTCAAAATACATATATACATTGACTAAGTTCGTGTTTACCTACTACTCATGAGGAATTGCCTAAATTGTATAAATGATAAATGATTTAACTATTTGCCTACATTTTAAAACATTTGTTCTTTTTTTAAAATCTATGTTTACAATAATGCTTTGCAGGTAAACATAAGAAATGATAAATTCATGTGCCTGGAAGTGACTAATTCATTCAGTCCTAGAATGTTAGAGCTGGAAAAGCCGTAAGAAATCTACTCTAACTCTCTCATTTTACAGAGAAAGAAACTGAGGCTCAGAGAGGTGAAGTGACTCATTCTAGGTCCCACAGGAAACCAGTGGCAGAGCCAGGGCCAGAATGATTTATCACCAATCCAGTACTCTGTCAACCCCAATATTATGGACTGTGTTTTTCTCTAGCTCGTGTGCCAAAACCCCCATTTAACTAATTGATTGCCTTTATTAAAAAAAACCAAACAAACACTTCACATCTTCTACTGGCCTAGAAAAAACAATGGGCTGGAAGCGACCTGGGTTCCAAGCCTTGGTTTTATTATCTATTTCTATGACTATGGGCAAGTCACTTCACTTTATACACCTTAACTTTCTTTTCTTTAATAGAGAAATGATAATATCATAGGATTTTAGTATCTGAGGAAGCTTGGATATCAACTGATCCAGCACATTTCCAAAGTCACACAGCAGCTTAGGACCAGAACCCACTCTCCTTCCACTGTACCCCACCCATTTCTAATCCTGTCTACAAGAGAAAATGGAAGTAATTGTGCTTTGAGAAGTTAAATGGTGATATTAACGAAGGAGGCTATTGTCCTTCCTAATAATCACAACAACCTAACTTCTCTAGGATTTAGAAAAGCAAGGTTTAAGTTCGGTCTTTATGGCTACATGGGTTCAGAGGTGTGGTAGACACAAGCAAATCCCCAGCCAATTTCTGGTAAGTCAATGTCTTCCAAGCAACCACCTTATCAGCCCTTCAAAAGGGGAGCAAATGTAGCTCCTTATTAGTTATTAGTAGAACTATCACTGTTACAAATACATGGCAGGTTTCTGATGCTCAAAGAACATTGAGGATGACTATGTGGGGAATCTTGGTCAACCAAAGGCAGGGCTTCCAACCAACGCACCTTTTGCCTTTTTACCTGGACACACCTTGCAGCACTTTCCATCTATTTTTTGAGGATACTTGCAGGGGTATCGATTGGGGCAGTGGATTTTCTTGCACTCTTGCTTGGTGACATTACAAGTGCACAGCACACACTCCACAATGCCAAATGCCCGGAGGTTTGGATGCCAGGACTCGCCATGGGAATAGGTCTTTCCATTGGAAACACACACTGGAAGAGAACGCAGGACTGGAAATTAAAGGCTAGGGAGCTGAAATGGGCCCCTGTACTCAGAGCCCAAGCCCTGAACCCCTTAAGACATCAAGCATCCTTCATTCTTGTTGTGGCCATAGAGATAGGGTCACAGAGCAGCTTCTGTAACCAAAAAGAGTATGGGCCTTGTTCCACTGTCAGCAATTATTCCATATCTCCAACAGGCCTCTGGATGCCCACAAGGGCCTGACACATAGTAGGCCATCAATAAATATCCTCTAAATGGAGGAATGAAGGGATGCATGAAAGCAGAGCTCTGTGTGTCCTGGGTGTCTGATAAGGAACTTCCACTAGAATGCTGCATTCAGACCTGCAGTTCCATAGAGGATTGGGATGGCCCAAGTGGATGTGCTTCTAGGCATGAAAATCTCCCAGGAATGTTTGCTGCCCAGGGAGGCTAGAATCAAACACTACTGCTCTTCTCGAAGTGCTGAGTTTTTCCAGATCCTGAAGCAAATCCCTTCAGAAGGTCAAATGCTGTGAGAATCTGATCTAGTAACACAGGTGGGTATGAAGATTAATAGTGCTAGCTTACTCCCTAACATGGGAAAGAAGTTGCTGAGACAAGACTGAAAGAGAAAGGACCCACCCCTCCTGGGTAAATGGTGGAAGGCAGCCTTTTTTTGCCTCTAATCTTTTGGTAATATCCCATCTCTTCATAGTGACTGTAGAGATTTGGCTACAGTGAATCACTGCCTGCCCTCCAGCTACCCTTTGGTGGTTTCACATTTATTGAGTGGAAGAGAAGGCACCAGCTCCATGGTTTTTCTTGGTGGGGGGGGCTGGGGCTTGCAAGAACAAGCATTTGGGCTGTAGGCAGTGGGGCCTATGAAGGGAAAGGGTCAGAGGAACAACCTTCAGTGCAAACCAACCAAAACATATCTGACTCCTAAGGTAAGGCACAGAGCTAGGCTCCGGTGTAAGACCTGCCCATGCTGCAAACAGGGAGGTCTGAGAATGAGTTCTCTCCTTTTGGAAAGTGCTGAGACATTCTGGAGATTTCCAGCCATGACGGGGACTGGGTGTGTTTCTCATTATTCCCATCACCTCATCATACCCGGGGAGACCTGTAGGCATTGAAATCAACAACATCTCTAGGGTGGGTCCTATCACTTAAGGCGGGGCGAGGGTGGGAGAAGGAGCCCCACTTGGGGCGTTTCTAGGAACTGACTGATTTGGCTGCAAGACAATGGCCTCAGAAGGATGACTCACTGGGCTATTTCTTTCTCATCAAGTCCACTGGGTCACATTAGGAAATATGGATGATGTTGGCTGCCTTTTCCTATCCTCTGCAAGAGCTGCTCAAGTACTAGGCATTCTAACAGGTCAATCTATGTAAAGATTTCGAAGAACCTAAACCAGAGAAGAACCGAATTACAGAGAGATAAAGTGAAGATGGAATCACAGGACAAGATAGACCAGATGTGTTGTTCTCTCTGCCATCCATCCCTCTTCTCTCTCCTCGCCAGACAGTGGCATTCCCTTCTGGACAAGGTGATCACGTGGGTGCAGACTCTGCCTCAGGAAAACTTAAGCTGGGCTCAAGAATGATGGGGTCTTATTGTTTCTCCTCTTGGGGTCTAGCAAGGGACAGAGGAGATGTATCTCAGAGGAGTATGCTGTCAGCAGGAGGGATAGGAGCACGGCAGGCAGGACCCACAGTGATGGAGAGCCAGGTTACCTCTCCCCTAAACATTTGGACTAGGGGAATCATCCAGACTAGGTGAGAGCTTACACTCTGAAGGGCAATACAGTGAGGTCAATTCTCTAGGGTAAAACGCAGCCTTCTCCTCACCAACAAATTCTCAAGATGGTTTTGAGTCATCCAGCTGGGGCGTTGGGAGTTGGAGGTGGGGACAAGTGACTCTCCAATGAACTATAATAGAAAAAGGTCAGGAGAGAATGACTGAGTACAAATCAATGGGGGTAACGAATAAATGTAAGCCAGCTGGGGCTTTTGTAGGACATGGAGAAATGAAAGGATGAGCCTCTGCCCTGAAAATGAAGAGGTCTGTGGAAATTATGGGATTTAGGATTTTTCAAAGTCCATTTCCCCTCCTGCTTTTTAAGACTTTGAAATTCTTTCAGAGCAAATGGAATCTATTCAAGTCAATTTAGGATTGAAAATCAAACTGCATCTTTACCTAAACTCCTCCTACTCCTTTTATAAACTCATATCAGAATGCCTTGGAATTTCAAAATAATAAATTTCAAATCAAACCCAGATCAATAGTAAATATTTCCAATTCTGCTAATACATCACCATTTTTTATTAAGAGTTTTATTTTGAATGTTCTTCTTTTAAGCCTCTTAGTTTCAAAAGCAATTAAATATTTTTTTAAATCTGTAATCTGAAATTTACATCTAACTAGTAACAGATGTGATCAACTAGCTTTGGCCTGACTAGCTTTGTTGAGATTTATAGTAGGGGTTCTTTTAACGGATTGTTTTTCACCCATGTTATTCAATCATTTGGTTTAATACTTTTATTACTTTTAACCCATTCAGAGAACTGCCTTTGATTTGTTTTTCTTTTAAAGGAAACAAAACATGTTTGTGGTTTCATAATAAGGAACCAGCTGAGCTTGTGCTCTGATGAGCTGGTTGACAGGATGCCAAGAAAAGTAAGAAGTAGTCAATTGTTTGACTGAATTTCTCCCCCCACCCCACTACTGCTGTGGTAGGGAAGTGCAGTGCAGGGTCTCAGTGGAGAACTATGTGCAGGAGGGAACGGGGCTGTGGATTCATGTGGATGCCTGCTGTAGTCAGCTGGTCATCCGAGTGGGCTACACAGTGGTACTAACCTAATCAGTCTGCCTGTGGCTCAGCCAGGAGGTTTCTGGATTTCTCACTGGATTACTCATTTCTAAGCATAATCTCCTCCCATGAATTAGAATCCCTGCGTGTGGAGCCTGGAATAAGTACCTTCAACAAGAGTCCCAGGAGAAGCTGGGGCAATGAGGGATAAGAATTGTTATTTCTAAGGTTCCAATGAGAAATTTAGAAGTATTTAGAGCTGAGTACCTTTGAATATTGGGTGTCTGGATGGAAAACAAACCACCTTTCATCTTGTTAAAGCCCCCATGAACTTTCCCAAATAACTTTCAACCCCCAGGGGCAAGGGATAAAATGCTGGATGGTGCATTAGATTCATTGCTTTCTCACCATTTGTCCTTAAGTAAGGACAGATATGCCTGAAATATCAACTATGGCCTTTGGACTGACAGTCCCCTGGAGCTACTTGTCCACACTAGCATAGTAGGCTGGATGCTAAGTGATCCATGTGGGAATGTCTGATATGCACGGGATAAAGGGTCCTTTCCCAGCTCCAGCCCTCCAAAGACTGGGGCCGCTGAGGCCCCGACTGGGTGTGGTACCAAAGAAGCCGGTCCCTTACCTTGTCCATGCTTGTGTTTGTTATTTATGACGATCTGTACAATGGTCCCCGAGGCTTGCTGTGAATCCATGAGTGCTCCCCGGTGACTTCTGGCCCCAGGAAAGCGGGGCAGACCTCCAGCCTGTCGGCTCGGTGGAGGATCATAGTGTGAGCGGTGGTAAGAATGCCTCTGTGAAATGACAAAAGGACAAACTCAGCTCCCTCCGATTCTGCCCATGAGGAGACCGAGACGGATCTAGCTACCTTAGAGGCTGTTTGATGAGTTTTGGTGATGAGCTCTGATCTTAACTCCATGTCCACTCAAACCCAATAGAGACATTGGGATGTGTAGGACAAACAGCACTGGTAGCAGGCTGAGATGTCTCTCTCTCCTGGTAGGAGACTAGATTAGATTCACAGGCTAGCCTCGAGGGAGAAAATAATCCCCCAGGGTAAAGTATCTTTCCTGTTCCCAAGGATTTCACCTTTGGGTTTAAGAAGTTAGATTGTTGCCTGAAATGCAAGGCAGAGTGTGATAGAAGCCAAAGGAGAAGGATAAAATGCTGTGCAAATTAAGACCAAGATAGAGAGCTTGTAGTCGGAGAGAGTCTGTGACCTGGGCCACGAAGGATAAGTAGACTTTTTACAGGCAGACTTGGTGAAGAATATTTCAGGCAGAGATTTCCAAGTTGAGAAGGTGTAGCAGAGAACATAGAATCCATAAAAGGGAACAGTTGGAGGATAACATTCCAAAAGTGGGTTAGAGCCAGATCATGGAGGACTTGAAATGACAGGCTAAGGGGCAAGGACTTTATTTGGTAGGCAATAGAGGTGAGGGTGTAGAAGTCTTTCAGGGATTTTTTTTAAGTATGGGGAAAAAAATAAAAACTGTGTTTCAAAACACTGAGTCCTGATAATATGTAGGGTGAACTGGATAGGAGGAAGAGGCAGGAGGCAACTCTCATCTGGATAAGAGGTACTGACATGCAGGAAGATGCAGGCAATGAGATGAGGTCACAGAGCAGGGCACAGATACCCCAGACGTTTTATGGACAGAAGCATTGATTATGCAGGATGATACTAGAATGTCAGCTCCAAAGGCAAAGACTTTGCTGTATCCACTGATGTATCTCCAGTGCCTTAAAATAGTCTCCAGCCTCTAGAAGGTGCTCATCAAAGCCTTGTTGAATGGATCAAGGAAAGCCGCGGTCCCTCACGAAAGCTTAGAGTCTTGTAGTACAGATGACTCCATCATTGCTCTTTCAGCAAGGGTTCAAGACACACGATGAGTCCATATTCTGATATGCACCCCTCATCCAGGAGATGAAGTAGAATAGGGGTAGAGGAGAATGGAATGGACAGAGATTGCAACCTTAAGGCTTAAAACCAAATAATAGTGTGTTTTAGGGGTAATTGTCAGGGGTAAGAGAAGGGGGATCCCCTGAAAGAACCAGGCAATTAAATGACAGAAATAGCAGGGAACATTGAGATGGCAGTTATGGGGTCCCCTGACCCCACCATCCCATAAAACATTTCTTATAGTTATGCTCCATAGATACATGGGAATTATTATTACTCTCCTGGTTAGGGGGTGGAAAGGCCTTGGTGGAAGAAGGAGAGAGTGAACAGGAGCTGGAGTAGGAGAAAGAGAACATTAATCCTATATCCAAGAAGAGCCCATGCTGGTACATTGCTATAAAAACTCACACAATAAGAATTTGCATCAATTTATTATCATGCACACAGACAGTATTCTCAGTGCAAATATTTTTCATTCCCACAATGGCTCATATGTCTTTTTCTGCCACAATCAACTCACATTCCACAAAGGCCATTACAGACTGTTCTGTCCTTTCTAGAGTTTGGTAAAGTTTTGCCAAAGGAATACAGTTGCCAAAGAGAGGACAGTTTGGCTGGTGGGTGTCCTACTGATGCTGAAAGGAGGGGATTCAACGGGGCTAGAATTTGAAAGAGAAGATTGCTGACCCAGGATAAGCTGCAAGTACAAGGAGTTCTCTGATTCATGCGGGCAAACACAAAATGAAAAGCTCGGTACCAGGGACTCAGAGCCTGGACATATGATAAGGGTAGAAAAATGATTCACAACACACACACACACACACACAAACCTCAGGGGTTTTGATCAGAGGCCAGCCCAGCCCTCTCCAAACCTCATCTCATTTAAGACTTGTTATACAGACAGAGAAACTGAGGCCAAGAAGAAGAGGGACTTAATTTGGGGCAAGAGTGAAGGCCGAGTTTTGGGAGATGGCAGAAGAGTGAGAGAGCAGGGCAGGAGAGAGGAAGGCTAACAGGAGGAGGACATGAGAGAGATCATATCTGGTTAAGCTCAGGAGTCCACAAATATTTGCTTAAAAGCTGCAGCAAAGAAAAATTCTCTCCTATATAGAAGTCTGCTACAGCGTTCACAACCACACACACCCCTGGTCTCCACTTTGGCGGCACAGAGAATCACCTGGGGAGCTGTAAAAATACTGATCCCACCCCCAAAGGATTCCAATTGAATTGGTCTGGGGTAAGGCCTAAGCAAGGAGATTTTTAGACACTCCTCAGGGAACCATAATGTGAAGCCCAGGTTGAGAATCACTGACACAAAGGATCTCCTGTTTTGGCCCCAGGGTAGGGGTGGTGATGTGTGATTTTGATTTAGGACTAATGGCTCTTTAAGAGTCGTTCCCTGAACAAACGAAAGAGGCTTACCAGAGGCCTGTCTGACCTCAGAACTTACCAGGAAGGAGAAAGAGGCATTAACACCTTGGAGTTGTAAGTGAAATTGGAGCTTATCTTTAAAACCAGCCTTGAATAATAGGCTGCTTGAGGAAGCAGGTCAAAACCAGTTAGGTAGAAACATCACATAGCGAGGCTTTGTTTTCTTCTGCTCAATATTTTGGTATTATTTGATTTACTGACTTGCAGGACTGACAAATATCTTGGGCTTCTGAGCTGGCTGTTACACAGTTCTTTCCAGGTGTTAGAAAATCCCCCGCCATGGTAGAAGCTACCCGGGAATTTCTTCTTGGCTTATTCCAATGTCTAAGATATATGGGCTTTTTTTGGCAGAGACAGGAAAACATGAAAGTGTAGAAATGGTCTTGGAAGTGCCTTCGTGTTTCTGTGTCTGTGCTACAGTTTTGCAAGCGCACTCACTGTGTGTGCTAAAGAATCTGCCTGCAGGTTCGATCCCTGGGTCGGGAAGATCCCCTGGAGGAGGACATGGAAAGCCACTCCAGTATTTTTGCCTAGCGAATCCCATGGACAGAGGCGCCTAGCAGGCTATAATCCACGGGGTTACAAAGCATTGGGCATGACTGAAGCAACTTAGCATGAACATGCAGGAAATGGCAACCCACTCTTGGGGTATTCTTGCCTGGGAAATTCCATGGACAGAGGAGCCTGGCAGGCTACAGTCCATGGAACCACAAAGAATCAGACATGACTGAGGACGCATGCACACAGTGCATGCAGGGAAACTGGGTAAAGTGTACACACCATCTCTCTTGTGTTATCTCTTACGGTTGCAAGTGAGCCTACACAGAAGAAAAAGTTTAATCACAGAAGAAAACGTTTAATTTGAAAAATGTTTCTGAATGTATTCTAATCCACATAGCCATGAGACGTGACATCTTAGTCACGAGTAACCTAGTACTATCCCCGACTGGGAGACACTTAGGCCAGTTTCCTATCGAGAGCACTGTTCTGACAATGTGAATGAGACACAGATTTTTACATGCTTCACATTGTTTGTATGCCAAATTCTTTCACTTTTGGTAAGAACTGGTGATGGTAAATCTCTGAGTAATCTACTGGGGGCAAAATCAGAGTTTGGCTATTGTCCAAAACAAAATTATGCTTGCTTTCATGTTTTGGCTTTCCACACTAAGGCTACTTCACATACCCCCCCCCCACACACACACATTTCCCCCGATGGAACAAGGACCAGTTTATATAAAGTTATGAGCTGGAAATCAAACGGAAACCATTTTAAGTTTTTACAAAGGAGTCATCACTGAATCGCAGGTTCTCCTACTTGTGCATTTTGTAAAACTTGGTAAACTGAGGGTTTTCAGCCCACTTGGCAAAATAAACCAATCAGCTCTGTTTCTGTTGACCCAAGGTTGTGATGGTTCCCTGGGAATAGGAACAGTCTACTAAAGAGCACCATCTACTGAATCAGAAATGTGTTGTTGGGACTTCCCTGACAGTCCAGTGGTTAGGACTCCAAGCTTCCAATGCAAGAGGCATGGGTTCCATGCCTTGTCAGAGAACTAAGATCCTACAAGCCACATGGTGCAATGCCAAACAAAACAAAAAACAAAACAAAACAAAAAACAAAAAAACCACAAAGAAGGAAATGTGTTGTTAGGGTTGCCCTTCTTTCCCTCCCATGGGCCTGCAAAGGGTATTCAGAAGGGGTTCTCTTACCTTCTAATAAGTTTGAAGAATTTCTCTCTGATTTGGGACAAGCTCCTATGAATCAACATTAAGGAATGGTCCACCCTCCACCTTTACAACATATACACATACATTTCACTCCCCCTTCCATGTCCATTCATTCAACACATATTTATTGGGTGCCTACTATGTGCCAGGTACATACTTTTCTGTTACTACAGATGCTATTTATTATTTAAGTCATATCCCACAGTATCTAACCCTTGTAGAACAAAGGAAAATATTTATTTATAATAAAGTGGAACCATCTGGGCATTCTGGCCTACCAGGCCCAAATATTTGTTTCTAAAGATAGGTCTTGACCTCCTTTGAAAATTTATAACTCTTTCAAGGTCCTGCCTTCTATATCTGACCTTTTTTGCCATGGGAAGTATCAGATTAAGTCCAGTCCTGTGACTAGCAGTTTAAGAAGAACAATAAAATGAGGTTGAAATACAACAATGGAGATGGGGTTAGCCTGTGATGAAGTCAAGAAGAAATGAAAATTAATGGCATTACCAGCAAGACCACCGAGTGGGCCACAGTGCTTAGTGTTGGGGGCTAAGGCACCCAGCTTAAGGTGACTGAGACCTAAATTTGGCTTAGAATGGCATCTGGTTGGCAGTGACTAACTTGCTAACTGCTAAGCCACTTCAGTCATGTCCGACTCTGTGCGATCCCATCCCTGGGATTTTCCAGGCAAGAACACTGGAGTGGGTTGCCATTTCCTTCTCCAATGCATGAAAGTGAAAAGTGAAAGTGAAGTCGCTCAGCCATGTCCGACTCTTTGCGACCCCATGGACTGCAACCTACCAGGCTCCTCTGTCCATGGGATTTTTCCAGGCAAAAGTACTGGAGTGGGGTGCCATTGCCTTCTTAGCCACTCTCAATTTCATACCATGATAAAAAAAATTGGGGCTGAGAAAAAGGTGAAGTTCATAACACAGAGCAGGGAGACTGATATCCTCTCCCATCAGGATCTGGAAGGAATCTCAGTTAGTATAAAGCTGGTATATCGCTGGATGGAGAAAATCCTTCCTTGGAATCTATAACTGGAAAGCCCACTCTCTCTTGCAGGAGTGCTTGTTTGTTTGTTTGTTTTTTGAGACATCCAGAGTATTATTCTCCACTCCACCCACAAATCCTTCTCTACTCATTTGGAAACAGGAATGTCTTGAGAAGAATATGAGTAGGCAATAAAGCAAATGCAAATCCTTTAATCTCACTGCTGAGGGCGTTGGCAAGCTGGGGACATGAAGTCAGAAGTGGCACATGTGGCCTTAGCCACACTGAGATGTTGGTACTCATTATTTTATTAGGTCCTGGATCAACACCTTCTCCACATCCTCACGATTCTTGGGCCTGACCTATAATTCCTTACCTTATATCCAATGTCTGTTGAGGACTAATTCCTAAGGTTTTCAAAATCATTTAAATTTATTACAAAACTAATTCATGCTCATTGAAATATATCAAACAATACAGAAGATACAACACAAAGGTGGCGCTAGTGTTAAAGAACCCACCTGCCAATGAAGGAGACCTAAAAGGTACTGGTTCAATCCCTGCATTGGAAAAAGCCCCTGGAGGAGGGCATGGCAACCCACTCCAGTATCCTTGCCTAGAGAATCCCAAGGACAGAGGAGCCTGGCAGGCTATAGTCCATGGGGTCTCAAAGAGCTGGACACAACTGAAATGACTGAGCATAGAGCACGCACGCACCTTTCCTCCTGCCCACTTGCACCCCTTTGAGCGTATCAGTCTTAACACCTTGGTATATGACCTTCTAGATCTTTTAATACGCATTTACATATATGCACAGACAACTTTTACAGAAGTAAATGACAGTATACATTGTATCCTGCATGTTGTTTGTTTACAGACTATATCTTGGTGCTCCCTCCACTTTACTGCATTTTGATGTTCAGTACCACATTCTTTTTAACAACTGTATGATGTCCCATAGGTTGGGTTTATTTAACCAAGACTCTAGAGATAGCCTGTAGGTTGTCTCCTTTTGTCTTGCTTTTATGAAAAGAATTCTACATTGACTGCTCTGTTTACTTCTATTGTGGGCTTCCCAGGTGGCGCTAGCAGTAAAGAATCCACCTGCCAATGCAGAAGACACAAGAGATGTGGGTTTGATCCCTGGGTCAGGAAGATCCCCTGGAGGAGGAAATGGCAACGCACTCCAGTATTCTTTCCCGGGAAACCCCATGAACAGAGGAGCCTGGTGGGCTACAGTCCATGGGGCTGCAAAGAGTCAGATACAACTGAAGCGACTGAGCACACACACTTCTATTGTACAAGGGTATGATGAATAGCCATTTATGTGCAATGAATGCCTTTGTTCATTTTGTACTTTTTGGACATTTTTTACTAAATTAAAGATTCTTTAAATTCTATGTTTTACCATTTTCAAAAGTTGCACACTCATGATTTCATACAATCCCATATGGACTCTATATATAAAGTCTCAAATTATGATAGATCATTTGAACTGGACCATCTCCTTTTCTGATTTTTAGAGAATTGGAGTGTCACTGTACTTAAACATATATTTATTGGAGGGTTTCTTTCTTGTTAATTATTTCAAAATAAAAAGGAATAAGAGATGCTACGACTATACATAGAGAGAGATGACCACTCCTAAGAGTTATTCTGAGATTAGCACCAAGAGGGGAAATCAGAAGATGCTGCAGGTAGAGGAAGGGAATCTGGCTGCTACCCTCCCTCTCTTCCAGCTTTATGACTGAGAGCCTACGACTTAGGGAAGGGTTTATATGAACATGTCCAAGGTACCTATGCCCAAAGGATGGGCTGACCTACCTTGCCATCCCACAGAAGGTCCTCACTGTTAAGCTAGGGGTAGTGATTTGCCTTCCTTACAGAAGACAAATATTTGGCAAGTCATCCCGAAAGGATGACTTCTAGTTTAGATGAAGGGTGCCTAAGGGCTGGGCTATGATTTCTCTGTATTCATGTCCTGGCCTCGGTTACCAATTACACAATGCACTTAAATGGTTCCAGGTTGGTGATGATGGCATTCAAATTTCCGAGGACAGGGATGAAAAATGGTGTTAGAGATAGGCCCTTTTATGGAATTGCTGGGACAGTAGCCATGGAGGGAGGGCAGTCTGGCCTGATGCTGTGAAGTCTTGAATTATTTGAGCTATTCACACTTACTGCTTCTCTGTTGGCAGGTTGCCTGAAGATATCACCATCAGAATGTTCCCACGACAATTCTCCATCCCCTGTTTATTAAAAAGAAATAAAGAATCATATATACATAGAAGGGAAAAATATTATCCTTGTGACCTAGTAACCCTTTGGGTTCTATGATCCCAAAATTCTTTAGACATTGTAGCCATCATGGCTGTTCTTCAAACAGCAACACTGAAAGACTTCTGCCCGGGTGTGCCTCATTTTTCAAGACAACTTCAAAGAAAGTTGCCACTTTCTAAAATAGACCATCCAGCAATATTACACAGAATTTGGAAAATGAAAGGGAAAATCATCACTTTCCACTGTAATATAGCCATCATTGTCACTTCTGCTTATTTTATTCCGAAGACAGTTAAGTATTTTACAGGTCATATTCAACTTATGTTTAAACTACCCTTAAAGAATGAGAGTTTTGTGAATTTGGTCTGTCATGATTTGTTAAATTCACCATTATGTCTCTGAGAAGGTATAACTTGATCTGAAAGTTAACATAAAACTTGCTGTGGTTGGAGTGTTTACACAACCCATATCTTCTATTTTTGCCTGAGACACCTTTCTCTGGGTCTCCATGACCCAAGTTTTGAACAGTGAACCCCTATCATTTTAGTTCCTTCTAGACTAATTGCTTTTAGGATAAAGATTCTACTTTCAGCCTTGAGAAGGCAAATGCACAACAGATATGGATATTCCTCAGCTAATTAAATATAAAAAATAAGAGAATAATCTCCAAAAATATTGCCTTGTGTTATCTATGTCCAAGTAAGCAGATGGGAAGAGCTTAGTCTTAGAGATACTTGCATCACTCTAAATGAGTACTATTTGTGTGTGTGTGTGTGTGTGTGTGAGAGAGAGAGAGAGAGAGAGAGAGAGAGAGAGAGAGTGTGTGTGTACCTGGCTGAAAATAAACCCAATATCTATTCAATCATGTATCTCATGGGGTAACAAGGAATACAAAAGTATATAAACATTAAAAATTTTCTATTCTAATTAATCTCCCAAGCTTTCAAAACCTAACTCTAATGAGTAACATGTTACTGGTTCAGGTACTTTTACTGGTTTAGGGCTGGAAAAAGACCTCAAAATTCATTTGATACCAATATTATCATTGAGCGGCAACATAAAACAAAGCATGGCTTTAACCCTCCATGATTCAAAGATCATCTCTTGGAAAAAAATTATGAATGTTGAAGACTTAACTGTGATTTCTAGGTTTATCTTCCTAAAACACCACTTTGACTATATAATGGTATCATTTTCTGATCAAAAAAATATCCTCAGTAGGTTCCCATGTAAGACTCTCTATAATCACCCCCCACCTCATCTTTACTGAGCACCTACCTCCTATCCAACTATCTTATCTACTCTACAATGAAATCCCTTTGACCTCCTTACTCTTTAGTGAACCTGTGGCTCCCATTCTTGCCTCCATGGTTCTGCTCATATTCTTCTGAAATTACCTTCCCATCTCCCACACCTCAGAACTGTTGTATGACTATGAAAAACATTCAGTTTTTCCTCTTCTGCAAAGCCTTCTTCAAGTACTCTTACATATTTCTTATTGCCTAAAGGACTTAGGTCCTTATAGTCAAAACTGTGGTTTTTCTAGTAGTTATGTAGAGATGTGAGAGACAATAAAGAAGACTGAGTGCCAAAGAATTGGTATTTTCGAATTGCGATGCTGGAGAAGCCTCTTGAGAGTCCCTTGGACTGCAAGGAGATCCAAATCAGTCAATCCTAAAGTTAGTCAACCCTGAATATTCACTGGAAAGACTGATACTAAAGCTGAAGCTCCACTACTTTGGCCACCTGATGTGAAGTGCCGACTAATTGGAAAAGACCTTGACCCTGGGAAAGATTGACGGCAAAAGGAGTAGAGGGTGGCACAGGATGAGATAGTTAGATAGCATTACCAACTCAATGGACATGAACTTGAGCAAACTCCAGGAGATAGTGGAGGACAGGGAAGTCTGGCATGCTGTAGTCCATGGGGTCGCAAAGAGTTGGACATGACTTAGCGACTGCTAAATAAAGGACTTAGCATCCTGTAGCCTTAGAGATGTATAGGACTTCATCTATTTTGAAATTTTGTCCAACAGTTCCATTTAACAGGTGGATAAACCAAGGCTCAGAGAGGGCAAGGAGCCATTTACTCACATAATCAGTCGACAAGAGCTAACACCCTGAATCCCAGATTTCCCTGCTCCCAAATAAGTGTATTCATTCTATAAGGACCTGTCCTGTTTATTGTTTGTGTTATTCATGGATGTATCACCATGATCTATAACAGTACCTGATACATAATAGTCACTCAATAAATACTCATCAAGTGATGGAATTAGGAGATCTTCTCTGCCTACCTATCTAAAATTTCAAATACCCTCTGATACTTCTTACCCCATCTTTGATTTTTCATTCTAAGACTCAAGAGTATCTTGTGGTACATGTATTTTATTTCTTGTCTGCTTTCTCCCACTAAAATTCTCCTATGAGAACAAGGATTTTTGTCAATCATGTTCCCTGATGTAACCAACCCCAGCACCTAGACCAGGGCTGGGCATGTAGTTAGTACTTACTCAATTTCTTGAATGAATGAATACTAAAACACTTTACAATATTTTCTGCTGTTAAATGTTTCCTGAGCCTGCCTCGTTTCCCTAAAGAGACTATGTCTTAGACCTCCCTCTGTGTTGCCTACATCACTGGTTCTCAAAGTGTGGTCTCCAGATCAGCAACATCAGCATAAATTGGGAACTTGTTAGAAATGCAATATTTTGGATCCCACCCCATGCCTAGTAAGTCAGAAGCTCTGGGGTGGGGGTCATTGATCTGGTACACATCAGATGCTCAGTTTATGCACTGAATTGAACTTCAGTAAAACATACAGAATTAAGTGCTTATCCAATAGCATACTTACCTCTTCCTGGTTATTCCACGTCTGAGTAAAGATGGCAGACAAGGACCACATGCAGACTCTTCTGGAAATCATAACTAAACTTGTAAAAGTGAAGATGCTTTCACCTTTGTTTATATCAAAAAATAATGCCCAAGTCACAATGGCCATCATTAAAAAGTCTACAAATATTAAATGCTGGAGAGGATGTGGAGAAAAGGGAACCCTCTTATCCAGTTGATGTAAATTGGTGCAGCCACTATAAAAACCAGGATGGAGGTTCCTCAAAAAACTAAAAATATAGTCGCCATATGATCCAGCAATCTCACTCCTGGGCATTTACCTAGATAAAGCTATAACTTGAGAAGATACATGAAACCCTATGTTCATAGCAGCACTATTTACAACAGTCAAGACATGGAAACAACCTAAATGTCCATCGACAGATGAATGGATAAAGAAGATGAGGTACGTATATGCAATGGAATACTACTCAGTCATAAAATAAGAATGAACTCATGCCATTTGTGGCAACATGGATGGACCTAGAGATTATCACACTAAGCAAAATAAGTCAGAAAGAGGAAGACAGTTACCATATGATATCACTGTCATGTGGAATCTAAAATGCAACACAAATGAACATATTTATGAAACAGAAATAGATTCACAGACAGGGAACAGACTTGTGGTTGCCAAAGCGGAGGGGGCTAGGGGACAGAGAGATTGGGATTTTGAGATTAGCAGATACAAATAGTATATATAGGATGGATAAACAACAAAGTTCTACTGTACAACATGGGGTACTATATCCAATACCCTAATATAAACCATGAAAATAATGTGAAAAGGAATATGTGCTGTGCTGTGCTTAGTTGCTCAGTCATGTCCGACTCTTTGTGACTCTATGGACTGTAGCCTGCCAGACTCCTCTGTCCATGGGATTCTCCAGGCAAGAATACTGGAATCGGTTTCTCTTCCAGTGGATCTTCCAAACCCAGGGATTGAATCCAGGTCTCCTGCATTGCAGGTGGATTCTTTACCATCTGAGCTACGACTATAACTGAATCACTTTGCTGTATAGCAGAAATTAACACAACATTGTAAATCAACTGTACTTCAATAACATTTTTAAAAAAGAAGAAAGTAACTCGCCAAAGTCAGTTAACATATTTCAAATGCTTCTTGGGTAGAGAACTTGATACTAAGTCAGAAGGAAAAAGGAAATCAGGGCTGGACCCTTCCCTCAAGACATTTATAACCTGTTTGGAGGTGACAGGTAACCAATATGGAAATCAGATGAGCCTAAATCACACAGAGTAACAACTGGAAAGGCAAATGGAATATATATGCTTCGGAGATATCAACTGTGTGGAGTGAACAGTCAGATGTAATCATGGAAACCAAACCATCCCTAAAGAATTGTTAAGTCATGTTTTTAGAAGTAGATATTGCAGGGTATAAGGGCTTCCCTAGTGGCTTAGAAGTAAAGAATCTGCCTGCAATGCATCGATCCCTGGGTCAGGAAGATCCCCTGGAGAAGGAAAGGGCAACTCACTCCAGTATTCTTAGCTGGGAAACCCCATGGACAGAGGAGTCTGGCAGGCTACAGTCCATGGGGTCACAAAAGAGTCAGACATGACTGAGCAACTAAACACAACAACTGCAGATTATAAACAGTCTCATGGGCAGAAGGGACCTGGCATTTGCAAAGGATTGGAGTTTTGGAAATAGAAAGTCACATAGTGGACACAGCAAGCAAGGTGTGGCTTGAGTGGAAGCTTCAGAAATGAAACAAGAGAAATGGGGCTGGTGGAGAGAAAGAAAAGGAGGGAGAGAGGGGGATGGGTTGTTGAGATAACAGGGCTGTAAATAATTCTCGTGAAACTTCAAAAAGAGACTAAAGAATTCACATTTGATCGTGTTATCAATTTTTATGTAGAGGTGCCTATGGTAAAAGTAATATTTGTGGAAGCTTATCCCGGCAAGGGGGTGTTGACTGGTTGGGAAGCAATTAGAATCTGGGAGGCCAACCAGGAGGCTGTTGTAGTAATATGTAATAGGCCATGAGAATTGAGAAAACAGCAAAGAAGGGGTGAATCATACTACTGCAGATAACATGTAAATGATAAGACCCTG